TTTCAGTTTGCTTTAAAGGCTTTTGTTTTGTTGTGTGTGTGTGTTTTTCAACCAAGGCCATTTGCACTTGTGAATGATAATGAATTGGTGCTGGTAGAAGAACTTGAGCTTCTTGGGTAAAAGATGTGTTCCCGGTTTAAGTTGTCAACATTGACATTGATCTCCAGAGTGTGGCCCTAGTGACTTGATTACCGAGTCACTGTTTACTGCCAGGTCTGCCACGGAGCTGCCGGCGTGAGGTCAGATCTGAAGGAAAGAACCTGGTGACGCTCTCCGAACGGGCATCTTGTTTTGACGGAATAGCTGCTGTCACTTGCTCTCATTTCGGGGTGGATGACACAGAATGGGTCTGACTTCAGCCCCAGGGAAACCATGCTCAAGCTCCGTTGAAAATCTACAAATTTGACGTAGGTATCAGTGTCCTTTAAGACGTCCATGCCCTTCGAGACAGAATTCTACTTCCACTTCTACTTCTGCTCCGGAAGCAATAAAACATGCCCACACCGATGTGTGTCCAAGGCTGGTCATGTCAGCCTCACTTGCAACAGCAAAACAACTGATGACGATCTAAATGTCCGACTTCTGGGGATTACCTAGGCAAATGATGTTGCCATCCATAATGCCGTGATTCAGAGCCAGACCTTCGAGTCATGTGCACTAAACACAGGAGCGATTCATGGTGAAGTAAACAACGCAGTTGTTAAAAATTCAAGGAATGGTCCAGATTTTATGAGACATTACATATCTGTGTTACATAGAACAGCAAACGCTGAAGGGCTTTGCCAGGGATTCCCCGGGGATGGGAGGGGAGGTATTTTTATTCATTCTTAATATTTTGCTGTGCTATTAAATTTTCTTCCATAGCAAATATTTCTGTGATAACTACTAACAAACAAACAAAAAACAGGCAGTAAATGCTTTTTTTTTTAAACCAGCGGGGATGGAAGCCCTTGTAATGAGGCATTTACTAGAGCCAGGATCCACGGTTAAGGACAGAGCCCTGCCGACTGAGGACCCGGCTCCCAGATCTGCGACCCCAGGACCTGCACGGAGTTGTCAAGAGGAAGTCCCATCACATGCCCATGCGGCCCCCAGCCCTGTAGGAAGGCCGCATGCGGCTTGTGAGGTTAAGTTATTAAGGGATAGACAACAATTGTCTCTACTCCAAAGTCGACATTTCATTTCACTCGGCTCATGGCGATCTAGTTCGGTATCATTTATCACAACCGCTCTTGAAGGACCATCTCAGTGGGCTGCTTCTGCCGGCGTCCCTCTCTCCCAACGCCAGCCGACCTCAACAGCCCGGGTAAGAAATTAAATGTAATTACCTATGGACTCGCACCAGCCTCCGACGTGGAACGAGGCGTTGGGAGGCCCTTGGTCCTTGGTCCTCACTCCTCCCCAGAGTTAATTTGCCTGCATCGCCTCCCGCCTGGAGACCGCTTAGGCGCCGCCTCACAATGACCTGGTGAGTCGGCGGTGGGAAATTATGTCATTTGCAAGCAAGCTTTCAGCTGTGATAGTTTATAATTGTTAAGATGAAAACCCGATAATCCTCCTCCCCCCCCTTCACACAAACTGCAATCCATCTTTAAACCTGTGATAACTCCTAAAACCTGCCGCTTAATAAACGCCCGGACCCCAGGCCCATGTGGTTTTTCCGGGGAGTCAATCTTTGATCAGCCAAGCTGAAATGGGCCTGATAAGGGGACGCCCTTCCACTCTGGGAGTCGCTGTTTCCTCCCCGAACTCAAGTGCCAAATAAGCAGAAGTCTTTTCCCCGAGCGCCTTATCTCCTTCACTTTCTTCTGGAGATCTCTGTCGCTTTAATCCCGCATGTCTGCTGCTGGTTAACAAGGAAATCCTATGTCAATTATCGCCAACCACTTCCTGCTGGGAAGCGGTGGGGAATCAAAGTGTCTGAGAGCCTTTTCACACCCGAGAGTGGTGCAGGGCCTAATTAAAGGGCCCTCATCTCCTGCAGCCCTGCCGAGGCCACGGGACAGAGAGCTAATGAAAAGGAGCCTAATTTTTCTAAGAACACCACGGAGGCCGGCGGGCTGGCCGGTGGGTTGCAGGTGCGCCCCGAGGTGGGACCGTGTGGGTTTTTTTCCCACTTCTGCTACTTTTCGTGGGCCTGTTGTCAGCACTGGACGCTGGGATCGGAAGGAAGCCGAGCGTTGGGAAGATGGCATCTTATTAGAGGTGTTCTAGAAATCAGAGTCCAACTGGAGTGAGAAAGGGACGGGCAGGAAGATGCCGGCTGCCGTGAGGTTCAGGCCCGGGAGGAGACCCCTGTCCATGGAATTACTCACCTGCCTCCAACGGAAGAAAGTCAGTCCCCTTCGGCCGAGGAACTCTCAGCTAACACAAGGCTGTTTTTAAAATCACTTTAGCCCAGCTGGCGTGGCTCAGTGGTTGAATGATGACCTATGAACCAGGAGGTCACAGTTCGATTCCCCATCAAGGCACATGCCCAGGTTGTGGGCTCGATCCCCAGTGTGGGGCGTGCAGGAGGCAGCCAATCAATGCTTCTCTGTCATCATTGATGTTTCTGTCTCTTTCTCCCTCTCCCTTCCACTCTGAAATCAATTATATATATATATATATATATATACACACAAACATCACTTTATAAGATCACTGCAAATCATGTCCTTCAAATGCCTTATTTCTACTGGAGGCACACATGCTCTCTAGACAAACTAAACTGAAAATATTCTTTTCTCTTTTTTGCAAGAAATATCTTTGTGACTCACATTTTCCCTAGCAGTTTTTTTTGTCTAGATCCGTGATTCTCCGAGTGTGGTGCCTGGGCAAACACCTTCACCTGGGAGCTTGCTGGAAACGCAGATTTCTCAGGCCCCGCTCTGGAGCTACTGAATCGAGCACTCCAGGGGCGAGACGGGTGCCCTAGGTTTTAACCTGCCCTCCGGGTAGTTCCGGGGCGCGCTAACATTTGAGAGGCGCTGATCCAGCGAGTGTCCAAGAAACTCCTTTGTCGATGGCTCGTTTGGATGGTTAACCATAACATGTTACATAACGGACACGCTGTGTTCTTTAACTTGACCTGATCCCGCCCCCCTTTTATCGAAATGCATGCACACAAGGCCGGAGTCATTTCCTGATTTCTGGCGACTTTGAGGAGGTAGTGGATGGGGTGAGGGTGGGAGGTGGGGAGGGTACCCACTGAATTCTTTAATTCTATTTCCTAGAGTTGTGATTCTTAGGCTCGTGGATTCTTACAAAAAATTGTCAAGGTACCAAATAGGGTTTGCTGCTTTTGACTTCGTAATGAACACCATTTACCCCCCTCCAACATTACATAAAAGAAAGGACATTTCAGAAAACGATGAAAAGAAAATAGTAAGAACATGATTTCAGAATAAAAGCCAATCCTTGCAAAAGAATGAGTGTGTGCCAATGAAAGCTCATTATGTTGTCTTTATTCTCCTCTCTTTGTGAACGAGTTGTGAGCTCTTTGCCATGGAATGGCATGGGCTTGCCAGCTGCTGTCTAGAAATGGCTAGTGCAGGCTTGGAGTTTGGAGAGGGGGCAGGCAGATTTTGGTGTGGCTTTGGCCTGGGGTGCACATTAAAACCACCTGGGAGGCTTTCAACGCTCCCCGTGCCTGGACCCCCTCCAGGGTTCTGATAGAATCGGTCTAGTTCGGGATGCAGACGTCAGAATTTTGTAAAAGTGAGAACCACCGCTTCGTGTTTGTAAATCGTCCTGTACTCCAGTGCTTCTCAGACTTTCACGTGCGTTCATTGCCCTGAGGATCTTGTAAAAATGCAGAGTGGCCCAGCCGGCGTGGCTCGGTGGTGGAGCGTTGACCTATGAACCTGGAGGTCACTGTTTTGTTTCCTGTTCAGGGCACATGCCCAGGTTGTGGGCTTGATCCCCAGTGTGGGGCGTGCAGGAGGCAGCTGATCAATGATTCTCTGTCATCATTGATATGTCTCTCTTTCTCTCCCTTTCCCTTCCTCTCTGAAATCAATAACAATATATTATAGAAATGCACTGTGTTCAGTAGGTCTGGGTGGGGCCCCAGGTTCTTCCTGTCTAACCAGCTCCGTGGCGACGTTGTTGCCATTGGTCCCCACTTGGGGTTGCGTGGGTGGGGCCCCAGGTTCTTCCTGTCTAACCAGCTCCTTGGCGACGTTGCCATTGGTCCCCACTTGGGGTTGCAAGGCCCCGAAGCTCTTACCTCTAAGGATTGCCGAGCACTTTGTAGAGAGCCCAGTGCCCCTTCTAGCACCAGCTGAGGGTCACAGCCCTGACTCCCTGGAGGGCAGAGGCCTCTCTCTCAAGGTCAAGCTGGGAGCAGAGTCAGGGACATGGCTGGTCTGGCTCTAAGGCGGTCTGGGATCCCCACCCAGGGACAGCCCCTTGGTGTAACCTCAGTTCCTCTCATGGCTTCCAGCTGTGTTTTGTGGTCACCTTGGCCATTCTGCGGTAAACCAGAAGGCCTAAATTTGGCAAAGAGACCCATGCTTTGTGGGAGGCCAGACAGCCACAGCGAAGGGGACAGGAAAATTACATGGCCAAAGCCTGCTGCCGGCATGATCGCTCCAATTTTCCTCACTCTGCCACAGGGGCCTGGCCCGAGGGCTCCCGAGGAGGCCCAACCCAGGTGAGATACGCACCCCATTGGTGCCCGTCAGGGGAAGCTGAGAGGAGGCCAAAACCAGCCTCAGGGGTGTGGACTCAAGTCC